TACGAAATTAGGTCCCTTTTGCCCAAGATAGCTCCAGACTAAATTCGGATAATATCCCTTAATCCCTATGGTAGGAGAAGGATTATAAAGGTTTTACCTCTATTTCCCCTATTGCCCCCCCTTTCAGGTCCCAGGGGGGCCACACCCACCGTTTATACAAAATTGGTTCCCCTTTACCCAAGGATGCTTCAGACCAAATATGGAACAAATCCTTTCATTCCTACAGAAGAAGAAGGATTTTAAAGAAAATTTGCTATGTTTCCCCTATTTGGCCCCGCCCTTCAGGCCCCTGAGGGGCCAGACCCACGGGTTTATACAAAATTGGTTTACCATCACCCAAGGATGCTTCAGACCAAATATGGAACAAATCTTTTCATTCCTACAGAAGAAGAAGGATTTTTAAGAATTTGCTATATTTCCTCTATTAGGCCCCGCCCCTCAGCCCTCAGGGGGGCCACACCCACCGTTTATACAAAATTGGTTACCCTTTACCCAAAAATGCACCACACCAAATATGGACCAAATCCTTTCATTCCTACAGAAGAAGGATGATTTTAAATAATAATTTGCTATGTTTCCTCTATAGGGCCCCTCCCTTCAGGCTCCTGGGGGGCCAGACCCATGGTTTATACAAAAAAATTGGTTCCCCTTCATCCAAGGATGCTTCAGACCAAATATGGAACAAATCCTTTCATTCCTACAGAAGAAGAAGGATTTTGAAGAATAATTTGCTATGTTTCCCCTATTTGGCCCCGCACCTCAGGCGCCTGGGTGGCCAGACCCATGGTTTATACAAAATTGGTTCCCCTTCACCCAAGGATGGTTCAGACCAATTATGGAACAAATCCTTTCATTCCTACAGAAGAAGAGGGATTTTAAAGAATTTGCTATATTACCCCTATTGGGCCCCGCCCCTCAGCCCCCAGGGGGGCCAGACCCACAATTTATACAAAATGTGTTCCCCTTCCCCCAAGGATGCTTCTCACTAAATTTGGTTAAAATCTGCTCAGTCGTTCATGACTAGTAGCGTTTTATAGGAAAAGTTGACGGACGGACGACGAACGCTGCGGTATGGCATAAGCTCACCATGGTCCTTCGGACCAGGTGAGCTAAAAATTAAAAAAATATTTTCTTATTTATGTGTAAGTATATATTAATATGTCCTTTTAAATTACATGCTGGTCCTGACAATCAGGTTCTGGTATTAGTGTGACCTGCTATCTTACGTTGTAATTGTCATTGATTCTTATATTTTAAGTAGTACTAGTCATTGGTTGCATGCATGCTATTCATGTTATCTCTTTCTCATTGGATATTGATGCCCCTGCTAGGGCATTTACACTATATCACATGTATATATTATGTAACAGGGTTTGTACAGGCTTTGAAAAGTCCTGTCCCTCAACTGAGGAATAATCCTGTAGTTATGCGACATAACCTTGTTCACAACATGCGTATGAGAGAAACTTCACAGTACCACCTGACCAACAGGTAAACAGTTGTCCGCTCGTGGGTTAGGGTTAGGAGACCACCAAATTATACATATTTAAATAAATTCTTAGCATAACTATGCGAGCTTTTACATACCCATCTATCTCACACTTTACTATAGCTGCTTACTAATGTTAACTATATTTAGGAATTCGACTGCTTATATTTCTATACGAGTTACTTCCCTTCCATCGCATATAATGCAAAACCATGCATAATTATATCGATGTATTCTCGGTACTTTGTAATGGTAAGATCGACTTAAAATGTTCTCTTGGGTTAGTTTTGGATGTACATATTGTATTAATTGGTTAGAAGCTAATAAAGTGAAAATATTGATTGTTAAACAATTTCCTGGGCGTCCAAAAACCATCCTTGGCAATGGGCACTCATTTGGGTCGCGTATGTTATTGTTTTCTTCTTGTTGTTTTCTATTAAAAATCACTAAAAATTGACTTTTCACTTGAGACAGTAATTTATTTTTTACTTCCTCAAAAAACGACACCTGGGAGGCTAGGTCCCTATTTCAGGCACTGTAAGATATAACATAACAATGACTGATATTTAGAAGTGGCCTGCTCAGAATAGTTCCAATTCTTTTATGGTTAAACCCAAACGCATGAAGGATATGCATTAAAAGGTTACGTAAAGCAAACGACTTACCAAGCATTTCCTCCATCATATCACAGAAAATGTTGATGAAATCGTGATGTTATTTCTTTCGGAAATTCATCTAATTATAGATTAGATGTAACGACATCTTTGATTGGTTGACATATAACTTTCCGGTGCCTCTGAGATTATCCAGTCAAATAATATGAAAGGTCTAGAAAGTATCGAATATAAATTACCCACAGTACTTAATAATGTTATTTCCTGCTTAGCAACAAACAACATGGCAGACCAAGAAGAGAGGTAAATAGTTACTTATATTATACTTTATACGTAGATATCCCATTGTAATATTTTGCAAGACCAAAGTTTCACGAAATAAGGAATGTTTCAGATTTTCCATAACCCCATTCATTGTTTGGGTCGTTCCGTACCACCGGCACCGGCAATCCAGTCAGTACAGTACACCAAAATGGAACACTTTTTAAGAATAATAATAATATTTCCTATTTATACGTTTCTGAAAGACCAAAGTTTTTACTGAAATGAGACAATACATGTATTTAGCCTTCATTGCATGTATTCCTTGGGTATCAACAGCGCGTGTATCTATTGATAGAGCTTATTAAGGTATTCCATGTATAATAAACATTTTTTTTGGAAGTGAAAAAAAAGAATTAAAAAAAATCCACACACGCGAGTTAAGTATTTCCCAAATTTCTGTGAACTTTTACCGCAAATTTTTCCAGTTTTGATGCATTTTATATAAGTACACTCCACTGGGGCCACTTTCTGTTCAAAGTCCAATTAAATAACAAAAACCTTCCATTTAAAATTCAAATTTGTGTACTCCATTTTCATGGTAAATGGTGGAAAAAATCCAAATTTTACCGTCCAAATTTTGAAAAAACATGTATATTTACAACCCCTACATCTATATAGTAATGACCACCTTCATCTATTTGAAGATCATGTCATGTGATAGTGGGTGCTAGGCCAAGAGAAGAGAAAATAAAGATAGTGAAAGGGAATATTTATAAGTATGGGAGGTAGAATTGTTTTTTGTTTAGGGACAGTTTAAAGCAGTCAAAAGAGGTAATGGAGGTTATATCTGGAGGCAGGTTATTCCAGTCTACTATGGTACGAGGGAAAAAGGATTGTTGTCGTACCTGTGTTCTACATGAGAGTGTTTGATATGAGTTCTGGGGTGTGCAACATGTGTCTTGTGTGGCGGGATGGAGGTATGAGTTCGTCTTTTTAGGTCACCTGAGACAGTCTCAAGTGACCTATTGCGATCGCCTTTTGTCCGTCGTGCGTCCGTAAACAATTTACATTTTCGACTTCTTTTCCAAAACCCCTGAACCAATTTCAATGAAATTTTGCAGGGACCTTCCATGGACAAAGGTCAACAAAAATGGCGGCCGGTTTAGTCCCAAGCCCCCAGGGGCCTGAGGGGCGGGGCCAAAAAGGGTCAAATTGACTAAAATTCCAAAAATCTTCCTCTCCAAAACCCCTGAACCAATTTCAATGAAATTTTGCAGGGACCTTCCATGGACAATGGTCAACAAAAATAGTGGCCGGTTTAGTCCCAAGCCCCCAGGGGCCTGAGGGGCGGGGCCAAAAAGGGTCAAATTGACTAAAATTTCAAAAATCTTCTTCTCCA